AAAAATTGTCTATAAGAGCATTAAAGCAGTTTTTTGATTTTCCAAATAGTTCCTGAGCTACAACCTGTTAGAAAATGTGATTTGAAGCTAGTGCCAGTCTTTGCACCTATTTTTTATCTATTTTGTGCGATTTCGAAACTAATTTACTTAAAACACGACTTGGCAAATCAAAAACTGCTTTAATACTGTATAGACAGTTATTTGTGTACTTTTCAACCCTACAACTTATTTTTTCTGTGAGCTAGCTTGCATTTTTAAAATTTCTATCAGTAATAGAAATTTATATTCAAATATCAGAAATTCAAAATTTTTAGCTATCAGCGTTAATTTCACAGATGCCTCCATATCTTACATTCATACTTGTGTCAAGGTCTGCACATACGTAATAACATACTGTCAATACGGTGCTTTCTTCACTAACTGCACAATTATTGCAAAATTGTGCGCTTATCCGCCCGCCCCATAGTCGGTTATCTTTTCATGTCACGCAATCACGAAATAAACTAATCCTTGGCCCAACCCCCATCCTCAACCTCCTATTAAAACAACTTGTATTTCGTGACATAAAAATGAAACATTTGTGGGCAACAATTGTATGCAGAGAAATATTTGTGGGCAACAATTGTATGCCCATTTTTGGGGGGAGGGACATTCAGGTCTAAGTGATTTTTTAGTGCAGGTTATTGACGTCACGGACGTTAATAACCCCACTGAGAGGGGGAGCTTTTGGATTGAGAAACTAAATAGTTATGTCCCACGTGGGCTTAATTTAAGGGAAGAGGTTTAATTAATTTATGCATAGCTAAACGTTAGACTATTTAAGCAAGAGACGGAGATGATGTAGCGTTATTCTGAAGAAGGGGCTTGTCCCCGAAACGTAAAAATATAATTTATTTACTTTGAAGATTTATTATTTCTTGATATATATATATATATATATATATATATAGGCGCTCGCGTGATTATTCGTCATTTGATAGGTTATGATTGCCGGCTTTCAAAATAATGCTTTCAACACCTTTTCTACAATTATATAAATTGCTTTCAACAACTTTAAACATTCAACAAATGATACTCTTGCTTGTTTAAAGCCTGTTTTCCACTAGGCGGAATTTTGCGCGCGGAGCGGAATTTTTCTTTGTCTTTTCTAATTAGTTCCACCCGAGAAATCACAAGACAAAGAAGAACAGTTCCGCTCCGCGTGCAAAATTCCGCCTAGTGGAAAACAGGCTTAATCCATAAATTGCGATCCAAAAATGCCGCAATAAAATGCAAAAGTTCGTGTTTTGCAGGACGCGCCACTTTGGAGGATATAGTCATTGGGAGAAGAAAATATTTACAACATATACTGAAAAATATTACGAAGGATTCAGAAAAGGTAAGGCACACAGGAACTAATGTATATTTATAGCTAACAAAATGCGTTAAGTTGCTCTATATTGAGCGTTACGTTGCTCGAGCTTGAATGAAGCTAATGGTTTTCATGAGTAATGGCTGTGAGGTCTCAGTCTAAACCAAAGGCTATAAGTCCGGCTGTTTGAAAGAATACTTCCCATATTTAACTGTTCCTAGATTTATATATTTATACGAATTTAAACGTCAACATAAGGCTACCTACATTTCGGAAAGCCTTGCATGCATATGACATTTCGTTTACAGTTTGAAAAATTATGAACTCTAAACATTTTTTGTAGAAGATCTAGTACTATTATTATACGCCTCGGAAACATTTTGAAAGGAATTATCAGAAACTATGACAGAAACTATGACCTAAAACTATAGAGAAAGTCATAATTCTGACTGCCTTTTTCAGTTTTTCTGCAACCTTATTAAGATATCAAGATTAGACTTTAATTTAATTTTCCAACGTAAGTTTGAGTCAAGGAAAATCCCTAAGTATATTTTATATAGTATTTTTTGTTTAATTTTACTATTGTTGATAAATAAAGCAATTACGTGATTTGGAGTTCGCTGGAGGGATAAAACAAAACAAAGTTCATTTTGTCAATATTTAATGACAATTTATAGGTGCCAACCAGTCAAAAAATTTTTCCAGTGAAATTTCTTAATAATAGTTTTTTCTAGTTTAACAAGATTTGCATTTAATAGCATGAAAAAGATTAGTGTCATCTGCAAATATGTTAAATTGAAAAACGTCACTGCAGTTATGGAAGTCATTAATATTTTTGAGGAATAAAAGGGACCTAGTACTGATCCTTGTGTAACCGATTTGGTCGGGGTTCGAGATTGGAAACTGTATAAATCGATTCTAAAAGTTAAAGTGCACATATACACGCGATTTGAAAAACCCAATATTTTGAAAAATTGAAAATAAATAATTCTACCCATGCACCGCGCTTGAATACAAGGAGTATTTTACTTCATTAATTTGGGGACAAATTCGGAAGAGTTTAGGAGATATTCAAGTTTTTGAAATTCAGAATGTTTGGCCAAGGATGCATGAGTATAAAATAATGATTGTTTCGGTTTGTGTAATGTTTTGACGGCATTTGAACCCCGTTGAAAAAGTTATCATTTGTGAAGATTTCAATGGTGTTTTTCGTTTTAAAGAGGGGTTAAATGCTCACTGAGATATTTTTTATCATATCCGTATAATCAGGTTCTACATCTCTCTACCTAAACAGCTATTTCCTTGTTTTCTTTTTAAGGATCAAGTTAAACCGTCATGGCGGTGGATTATATAGTGAAGTTTTAGATTTTCTTGAAAAACTTAATAAATCAGAGATAGTGATACAAATATTAATCATTATCTTTGCAATCCTGGGCAACACTATGGTTTTGGTTGCGACTTGGAGAGAAAGAAGTCTTCATGAACCAAATAAATATTTTGTTGCTTGTCTGGCTGTCGCTGATCTTTTGGTTGGAATGATTTTCGCCCCACTTCGGTTGTATCAACTTGTGAACATAGAAAATGGAGGAACGACGTCTATTTATTTTTGCCGTTTTTACTTTTGGATAGATAATTTTTTGCAAACAGCATCTATTTATATACTGACGTTCATCAGTTTTGATCGATACCTCAAAATCAGCAAGCCGCTTCAGTATAAATCACGCATGACAACTTCCACATTACTGAAAATAATTTTCATCATCTGGCTAATTACAGCTACCGTTGCAACTTTGGCCATGTTTCCCTATGCAGATAGTCCTAGTATTTATGCAGGAGCTCAATGCATTTTTATGAATAGAATCTTTCATACTATTGGCGCCGTTAGCGCGTTTTTTCTACCCACGACAATCATGCTGGTTATGTACACTCTTATTTTTCTTGTCGTTCATAAACGACAAAAAATGCTGCGAAATGGTGCACTGGGCGAAACTTCCAACAATCCGAACCAGCGAAGTGCCTTGCTTCGAAATCTAAAAGTGATCCGCATGTTGCTCGTTGTCGTGGCAGTGTTTATAGTTTGCTGGGGTCCTTTTTTCGTATGGTTGATGATATATTACTATCAAAAGAAAGAAACATTTTGGCTCTCATTGACGTATTGCTATGAACATTCCTGCAATAACATGGTATATTTTGCAATGGTTCTTTGGCAGCTAGTGACCATTCTTCCGGTACTCAACTCTGTTTTCAATCCATTAATTTACGCTTGTCTTGACCAGAAGTACAAGGAAGCTTTCAAACATCTGTTTCAGCGAATGATGTGCCGGCCAAGCTCAGGAAGGAGAGAGCCACCACAGTAAAGTTACGATGACGGCACAAATGATAAAACCTACGTAGGCAAGCTTAAAACTGCGACACTGTAGAAGCCCAGAACACTTTGAAAACTAATATGTTTCACCTTTCAAAACTGATAATTTTAGTTAAGCCAATGGTAGTGCCCAATGGAACAGCCTGCCCGACGATATCAAATCGTCTCTCACTGTTCAGTAGTTTAAAATTCAACTCAATAAACATTAAGTTCTTTGTTTGCATGGCGATAAAATATAATGGTTTTGTTTGTGGAAACACCACGTAAATTTATTACTGCAAAGCTTTTTTCGATCCGTAAGCCCGGATCTTCATCAGTGCTAATAATATGAAGATATTAGATATGATTTTAGATCTTTATCATATTATATTACAAGCACTGATGAAGATCCGGGCTTACGGATCGAAAGCTTTGCAGTAATAAATTTACGTGGTGTTTCAATAAACATAAAACTGAGAAACATAATGCATGTTTTCATGTTGATAGACCAAGCCCAAGGATCGACTTGGAAAACATTTTATTCTAAGTGTGGTTCTTGCTTTTTACATTGTTGTTCGATCCCATAAAAGTACATTTTAGCGAATTTTAATTATGTACATATATAATGATGTGTAATCTGTGAAATGATGTGTAATCTTGTGTTATGTGAAATCTGTGATGTGTAATCTGTGTATGATGTGTAATCTTGTGTTATTTAAAATAGTGTTGTAATGTAGCATGTCAGGCAGGACTTAATTTAGGACTTTATTTGTCCTGTTGTCTGACCCTTCAATTGTCATAATTGTAAAATTAATTTTAAAAAGGGGAAATTTAGACCATACATATATTTAATCGTGCTATATTAAAGCAAGGGGCTCATTATATGGAGAGTTCTCAACCTGGGCTCAATTTTAGCCCAGTTAACCGAACTGAAATTGTTTCACGATTACATGAGTTCAAATTTCAGCTCAAACCAAGGATGAAATCTCAGCCCCGGGCTGAACAGTCATGTGGAAAACGATTTTTTGAACGGGCATAAACCATTTTCACACTGTGATCGCATTATACCTTCAGCTGCCCCAAGGCCATCGGTATTTGCAGCTCTGCAAATGTCATACAAGGACAAAACAGGGATGCTGAAGAGGGGGTGCAGGGGGGCATCGCCTTTCCAAAGGGGAGCAAAGGTGCCCTTGTTTATTTTAGGGAAATATTTGAGATATTTTCAAAAATCATTACATGTTCACTTCATGAGGCAAAAATGGCGAATTATGAACATTGATTGACTGTCTCACAAGAGAAACAAACCTTAATGCATTTCACATAATCCATGGACGCAGCAATGTGCAATGGCGTATAATTCCCATCGGCCATCGCGTCCACATTGCCACCATAGATAAGCAACAGTTGTAAGATATCATCATGACTCTGACACGCAGCTTCGTGCAATGGAGTATAGCCCAAGAAACCGATACGTTGATCCAGCCTGTTGGCGACATACGAGTCCTTTTGCAAGATCTCTCGTACTTTGCGAAGATGCCCTTTTGCACATGCATCGTGCATCTTGTCAGTTTTATCTTGTCTTGTTGACATTCCTTGGTTTAAACCTTGCTAGAATTTATTATCATGATAGCAAGATTTACAAAAGCATGCCAAGGTAAACAGTGGTAAACGACACTCGACTTTTCGGTTTTGACAATTTCACTGTTGCCATGGCAATATGGCAAAGATATAAAACCTGCTTATTTTAGCCACACTTATTTTGTCTTCATCTGATATATCAATAGAGCATGGTGTTCTGCAACTATATATTGAGAAAATTTAATAACATTCTTTACTCATGTGCGATTTTTTTAAAAGGGAAAATTGTGTTACAAGATTTCCATTGTAAGGAATTTTTTAAAATTTGAAATATATAAAATTTACTAAAACTAAAGTTATATAAAGTTACTATGGCAAGGAAACTGCTGCCTCACCCCCATGCAAGGTACAAGATACAGGGGCGAAAGTAAACCCTTTTAATTAGGGGTTGCCTGGCAGAATTGCCTTGCCAAAACCAACTAAGCTACGTGTATAGTTGAACTGCCGATGCCAATGTACATGTATACAAACTGCTTATTGTTTGCTAGCTGTAATAAGTAACTTAGTAACTCTACATTCTATCATTTAAAATTGTACTCATAATTCATTTATTTAATATTATTGGAATTTTTCGCATTTTGATTGCCCTCCAATCTGGATGATTCGGGGTTTTTGGGGGGGCACTCCCCCCAAAGCCCCTCAATTTTCGCCCCTGCCAAGGTATCAAAGGCAGCAAGCGCAATTTTCCGGATATGGGGCTGTTTATATGACCCGCTTTGCCAGGACGAAATATGAGGCGGGATGATTTCGACGTATTAGTGAAATAAGTCCGGGTGCACGATTGAGCAAAAAGTTACCGATGAAAATAATGAGTAAAATGCAATTCAAGTTATAAAAAACCCTCGATATTGTAATTTTGGCTATTGAGTATTGACGGACTTGCGTATATATAGGGACATTATATGACTTTTAACTAGTTTCCCACTGAAGAAGCCTTGATCGGCGAAACGTTTGAGATTTTTTGCCCCAACAGGGCATGACTTACTTGTCACTTTCATATATATATATATATATATATATATATATATATATATATATATATATATATATATATATATATATATATATATATATATATATATATATATCTATATATATATATATCTATATATATATATATATATATATACGAGTAGGTTTATGAATACGAAACGCAAAGAGTGCTCAATATCATAAAGATAGAGCAAATGTAGAATTTCGCTTACCTCAAAATTCCGCAACAGTCTGTTTCATCAGTAAAGAATCATCAGGCGGTATGACAAGTTTCGAAAAATAGGGCTGCTTATATGTGTTTTGGCCGGAACGTGGGGGTGTGTGGGTGAAACAAAGCATGCATTCATCTATTGTTTGCGTTGTTTACGCGGAAATGCCTAATCGAATTGTGGGAGTGTATTGTTTGCGTTGTTTACGCGAAATTTCTTCCTATGTCCTCATTTCTTACTAACTTCATAATGCGACAATTTCGATTTGACTATTCATTAAAGAATATTCCTATACCATCGCAGGACGCTTATTTGAAGAATTTGATTGAAAAAGTGGAAAGTGTAATAAAACGTATGAGATGGAAAGCTCATTTCTTTAATAAAAACAGTATCAACAAGAACCAAAACAACCATTTCGGCCTTGCGTCCAACAAAACACCATCTTCGATTCCGGAAATGAAACCTTTCGAAACCGACCTTATAAAACTGATCGAAAATATACAATTTCGATCAGGGAAAAACCATTTTCATAAAGGCGGGGGAATACATTTCGAGAGTCATGCGTATGACCTATCGTTTTTCAGTTGTATGCAGTATACTATTCTGAACATCTAAACCTTTGGCTTTGATTGTTAGTGTATGCCTTAATTTTCTCGATCTTAAGTCAAGACAAAACTTATCTCTGACTTTCCTTCCACCTTAGTAACTTTTATTAGTTCACAGAGCTTTATATCCAGTGAAAATCCTATATAGAGATTCAAGGTGTTTTTATATAGGGGTTTAGAGCATTTATTTATGTATGGAAAAATATCCCGTTAAAATATTCATGCTCCTCTGTCTCTGAAGAGTTAAAAGCATTATGTTTAAAACGACATTATTTTGACAGTCGTTGAATAGAAAAGTACTTCACCATACTTGAAATCAAAGTGGTTTAATAGTCTATACGTGCACAAAACGAATGTTTTGGAAAAACATGTCAAAATATTGTACCTTCACTGTAAGTACCTTTCTCGTCAATATTGTTTGAATTTTTACGGTTACTTATCCGAAAACAATGTAGCTATTTTGACTATATTTTTTTCGATCTAGCATTGTCAACGAACAGTTATTTTACCTTCATTTTACGTGTGAAAATTTCGAAGAAATGTGGTACGTAATATTTACGGAGTAAACTTGAACATATCAGTGCCCTGGTAACGAACTCGCGCATCTGAGCTCCCGAATTGGTGAGCGCACTAGAAACAATACTTGGTAACGTCAATCAAGTTAATATATGAATTGTTTACAACATTAAGGACTGTGTTTTGAGCACAGTCAGTTGGAACTTGGAAGTTGAAAAGAAAAGTCAGAATTTCCAGCAGAATTTGGGAGTATATATATATATTATATAGTCGCCGGGAGAAGAGAAGATTCACAACATACTGAAAAACATTGCGAAGGATTTAGAAGCTATTTAGAAAAGGTAAGGCACACACCAACTAATGCATATTGCATATTTATAGCTAACAAGACGCGTTAAGCCGGTTGCTCTGTATTGAGCGTTATGTTAACGTTGCTCAAGCTTAAATGAAGCTAACAGCTGTAAGGTCTCAGTTACGACCAAAGGAAAGCTACCAAAGGTTACCAAAGGCTAGGTCTTGCTTCCCATGGACACGCTTCCCATGTTTAACTGTCCTACGTCAACATAAGACTAGTTATATTTCATTTTAAGGCCCTGTCACACTATTGCGTATCTCTCTCCTCCGCAGAGGCTTTTATAGTTTTAAATAATATGAAATTCGAAGGAATTGAAATTGCGCTAGAAGGTATTCCAGGTACCTTCTAGCGCAATTTCAATTCCTTCGAATTTCATATTCTTTAAAACTATAAAAGTCTCTGCGGAGGAGAGAGATTGCGTATCGTACTAGCGTATGCCAGCGTATGAAAAATATCACTCATACGCCGGTATACGCTGACATACGCCAGGCGTACGTTAGGCATAGGTTGTATATACGTTTCAAGTACGGTCGCATACGGTGGCATACGCCGAGGCAGAAAAAGCATGTTCAAAAATTTTGTGCGTATCGGACGTATGCTTTATACGATAAGCATACTCTAGACATACTCTGAATACGCTAGAGGTACGCCAGATGTACGATACTCATACGCTGGCATTTCAAAGGATTTTTGTGCCGTATGTGAAAATTATTTCATTCAATTTTCATACGCTTCTCATACGTTTCTCTCATACGCCATAGTGTGACAGGGCCTTTACGTCTGAACTATTTAATTACTTAGTTTAAAGATAAAGAGCAGAGCCCAGCAAATAACTTTAAATCCAAACATAATAAAAGTAAAAAGATAGAGCGTTCTTTTCCAGTCAAAGGCGAGACTCCATATGTTCTGAGATACGTGTGTGAATGTGTCGGCGTGTTTGGCCAACATACAATGCGCTACAGCATTGACACAATATTTGACACAATATTTAATTACTTGGTTAATAACCAAAATTAGATTAATGTCTATTTTATTTGCATATAGACATTATAGTTAACTTTTTAGTATATCAGCAATAAATGAAATATATGGTTCAATTAAGCCCGGCGCACACTAGTGCAAGTTGCACGCACAAATGTCATTCGTGACCAATTGCGTGCGACGAAAATCCTAGTGTGCGGGGAAAATATACAGAATTTTTGTCACTCGTGTCGTGAACAAGCAATATCAAACATGTTTGATATTTCCTGTCATTCGTGACAAAAATTCCCAGTGTGCACAGGGAGCAGAGGAGTCGAGTTTATCTAGTAAAACAATACAAACGCCGTCTTACCTTGTTAATTGTAATATCTTTCATTGTAGAATCCCCATGTGTGCATTAAAAATGCACATTTTACAATTTATAGCCTGTTGAAATTGTCGTGAAACCATATAAAATTTATAAACATTGTATGCCTTGTATGATTTTTTATTCGTACTTCATGTAACATGAACACCAAATGAATATACTCCGCTGTTCTAGATTATTGTGGGCTCACATTTCACTATGCTTAGTAAACAATAAGAAACGAAGGAAGGGAGGAAACAGTCATTGGGGTGATATTTTAAGAT